CCCACCCACCCACCCACCCCCCAAATCAATGTAAAAGAATTAAAAAAATCTGTTATAATAAATAAAAATCTGTCATAAATAATTAAAAAAATAATTTTAAAGAATTTTGTTTCCCAAAATAACTATAAACATCGTCTGGAGAGCTGAAAGTCAGGCCAGTTAGTGAAGGACTTAAGATTTGAGAAATGATAAATAGAAAAACCAAAACCAAAGACAAAGCTCTATCAATATTCACATGAGTTAACTTTTTATTAAAGTAATTTACTTTCTATTTCTACCGCTGATCTCCCTACTTTGTTGTTACAAAAGTGAAGAATTCCCGTGAGAAAACAGGATAACAACACAAACAAAATCCAAACAAAGGACAAACAAAGGAAGAGTTCTGTAAGGAAACTTTTACTTCAAAATGAATTGGCTGGGGATATGACAAGGGTAGAGCAGCAGCAAGGCCACAGTGCCATGCCCAGCACTGAAAACAAATGCAGACACATTCATGAGTTCACACACTGAGACAGCCAAAGCCAATGTGTGGCCACTGCACCTTCTGAAAGAAGGCATGTTTCTTGTTTTGGTTTTTGGTGCCAGGGATGGACCAGAGCCCTATGCCCGACAGGGAAGTGCTGAAGTGCTGAGCCACTGAGCCACTTTCTCCACCAGGATGAGCTGAATGAGGTACTTCTAACTCCAGTGGCAGGATAAACTTCACCTTCCCCTCCCTTCTCCCTACAGAACAGTGCTTTTGTTTGTTTGCTTTATGCTCAAAGACAACTTCATTAGTGTTAAAGAGAAAAACACAGTACAGGTGGAAATCCTGGCAGACACCAGGAGATGGAGGAAGGCTCTGCTTTTCAAGTTTGGCAAGGAGTAGAAACAGCTTATGAAAAAGGAAAAAAAAAAACATCCCAAGAGTGGAAATATGCTATGAACTGAGGGAAGACAGCCCCCGCCCTCCACCAAACAAACCAGCTTATAACTGCCCAAATATTCTCTCTTCTGCCAGTATCAGATTAAAACTTGAGGTTTTGTGGCAGTAAATGTTAGTGTTTTCAACCCGTACATTCTGTCATCAATGGTCACATTCTCATCTAAGTTATCAGAGACCACATCCCAAGGAAATAATTAGCAAGTAAAACATGAGATACTAAAGTGCAGAAAGAACGACTTAAGAGAGAATCTTTTCCACAATATTCTGGAATCTGAAATTTGGCAAATTTAAGAAATGTTAATTCTTCAGAAAATGTTTAGTCGAGGAAAAGGGTAAGCATGCTTTTGGAAGCCCTTCCCCTGAAAAAAGATCTAGTCAGGGGCCAGCTTTCCTTGTACACCATGTGGCTATGGTATTCCTAGATCTTTGAGTTGAGCTTTCTATTTTGCCTTATGTCCCCTAAAATTTGAAAGTGTGATAATACTCAGGCATTTCCCAAGTTGTAGCTGACTGAACCACAGGATCAGGATTTACTTCCTGTAAATTTTGAGAGAAGAGTAGGGCAGGACCTGCACATGAACACTTACCTGTCTCTAGTAGCTTTGGCAAGTTTGTCTTCTGATTTCCGATCGTGTGTTTCTAAACCCAACATGAAACTCCCTCGTCCCAGCTGGGCTTCTGACTGCTCTAACTTTTCAGACAAATCAAACACCTGGCCAGTGGTATAGTCTGCATTCTGTGGAGAAAATGGTGTCATGTCATTTCACAGCATAGGCTCATCATGAAAATATTCTGTTTTTTTTCCAGGGCTAAGCCTGCCTTCAGGGACATGTAGATATAAGCAAGCACTCCACTACAGCATTATACTCTCAAGCCTTTGTATTTGTTTTGAGACAGGGTCTTGTTAGTTGCCCAAGTTGGCCTTACTCTATTGAGGAGCTGGAACTATAGGTATACCACCCATTCTGTCCAGCCCCACACCCCCACTGCCCAAGATTCTACCCACTCCCCCACACACTTGCTTTTATTTTTGAGACAGAGTCTCTCACTACAAAGCGCTGGCTGTCCTGGAACTTACTATGTAAACCAGACTAGCCTTGAACTCACAGAGATCTGCCTGCCTCTGATTCCTAGTGTTGGGAATAAAGGTGTGTACCACCATACCTGGCTAAAAACCCAATTTTTTTTTTCTTTTTGAGACAGGGTTTCTCTGTAGCCCTGGCTGTTCTGGAACTTGCTGTGTAGACCAAGCTGGCCTCTAATTTAGGGATTCCCTCTGCCTCTATCTCCCGGTGCTGGGATCAAAGGCATGCGCCACCATGCCTGACAAAATCCACTAATTTTTATGTAAATTAATTTAACATTCTATATCTAAATAATGTAAAGATGGATAGACAGTGAAGAAGTTAGGTCATAGCTATAAAAACTGCTCCTAAAATCTACCAATTTGATTTTAAAATTTTAGAACCTAATTTCAAGATTAAATGTGTTATTTTTTCCTTTGCTTAAATCAAGTTTTGTCATTATGAAGGCTATGAGGAATGCCTGGACCACGCCTCCTGGAACTCTTAAAAATGGAAGTAGGTGGCAATGATTTCCACCTTAAAACTCTAGGACTGTCCAGGGCACCTAAGAAAGGCTTAATAATTATTAGCTAGTTTTGTGACTGTTCTTATCAGAGTATTGCAATATGTCCTCATTCATACCTACATTTGAGGATCTATTACACATACCATTTCCAAATATGTATGTATTTTACAAATCACCAAATTACACCTCCAGGCTTAATTGTAATATTCTCATTTTATTTGTTTTGAGACAGGGTGTCAAATGACTCAGGCTTGATTACAGGCATATACCACTATGTTAGCAAGGGCTAACTGTAATATTTTTAAAAAGCTGCTATGAGATGTCTTTTTAGTTTTAATCTAAAACTGGCAACTATAAATGTAATCAAGGCAGTCTTGACTATAGTATGAGTTCCAGGCTAGTCAAGGCTATATATAAGGCAAGGCCCTGTATCAGGCTGGTGAGTCAGCTTAGTAGTAAAGGCACTTAATAATTTACACTCATCCCAACTATTCATGTCCTCATATTGCAATGCTGGAATACAGGGAAAGTCAGTCACAGGACTAAGCAGGTATATTCAACTGCCTTTATTGCTATTGTCTTAGAGTTTTCTCTCCCTGCCACCAGGTGTCACTTCTGACTATAAATATATTTGTCTCTAAGGGAACAACATACATAAGACACTTAGCAGTGCTTGGCACACGGGATACATAATATTTTCTAGTATGATTGCTTTCCTCCTTTATTTTTGTTTAAAACAAGATGGCCCCATGTGGCCCAGGCTGGCCTTTAGCTTTCAGCGTGGTGAGGAAGACCTGGAACTCCTGATCCTCTTGACTCAACCTCTCAAATCACAAAGACTGGCATTATAGACACACGCCACTGTGCCCAGCCTGCTCTCTTTTTAATTCTGCTACTTCTAGTAATACAGATCTTGTCAAAATTATATTTAAAATAAATAGGGCCAAGGGAGTCTTTCCAAGAATATAATGCACCAAACAAAACACTAGTAATTATTCATCCAGACTTCATTGTAAGCCAGGCACTTGCTAACTTTGTTATGACTTATGTAAAGTACCTTAGTGTACTTAGTAATACTTACAGTGTCACTGCCAACATTTTACACCAAGGCTCAGACACTAAAACTGGATGTGAAGCACATGCCTATAATCCCAGCACTCAGAGAGGGTGGGGACAGAAAGAAGTTCAAGGTCATCCTTGGCTACACAGCAACTGCAAGGCCAGCCAGGACCACAGGAAACAAAAGCTGCCCTAAGTTTTAAATATGTACCTATTAAATATATATCCATGTAATAAGCACATTAGATTTTAAATGATGTATCAGGACACACTGAGTTAATGCCTTTCTTTGCCTGGTATTTATCATCAAATTGATTTCCACGACCTCCTTCTCCAGCTTAATCCCCATGCTCCTCAAAGAGTTGTTTTCACACCAGCCCAGCAGTTAGCCCTTGCCTTGGCCCAGTCACTCATCAAATTTGTTGCTCTGCCCCATGACATGTCTTATGGATGAATATGTGATCTAAGCAAAGCTGAGCAAACACAGGAAACATGCCTGAGAATATGCAGGGACATGTATGCTGGTGTTTATCTTCTGAACATTAAGCACAAAGGCTGTGAGGTCAGAAGCTAAAGCTGCCTGCCATCTGCTTTCAAAATGAGGCCGGAGTATGAACCTTGCAAAGCTGAACGAAAGCTGTGGTTTTAACACTGCTTGAATAAGAACCTAAGTGTGCCCAGGAAAGCTCTGCTCCTACATCTACTAACTTACATGGCATCTTTCTCGGTATCTTGTTATTTCTAACTATATCAGTAGTTTTTGACCGCCCTAATGCTGCAACGCTGTCTGTAATACAGTTCCTCATGTTGTGGTGACCCCAACCATAAAATTATTTCATTTCTATCATTGCTACTTCGTAACTATAATTTTTCTGTTATGAATCATAATGTAAATATGTGATATGGGACCCCTGTGGGGTTTTGACCCATAGTTTGAGAACCACCAAACTAGAGTGTTATGTGTCAGAGACTTACCTGCTATCTGAGGCAACAAAAACAGTCTTTTTGTTTCTTCTTCTATTAATCTTTTTAAGGCACAAGCAGATTTCATGTTCATTTGGTATTCTATTTGATATTTAGATTTGGTATCTTGGTAGTTTGAATGTAATTGGCTCCAGAAACTCACTGGGACTGGCATTATTAGGAGGTGTGACTTTGTTAGAGTGGGCATGGCTTTGTTGGAGGAAATGTGTTACTGTGGGGGTGGGCTTTGAGGTTTCCTATGCTCAGGATACCACCCACTGTCTCAGCTGACTTCCGGTTGCCTTCTGGTCAAAATGTAGTCAGCACCATGTCTGCCTGCACACCATGTTCCCCACCATGATGACAATGGACTGAACCTTTAAGTGAGCCATCCCAATGAAATGTTTTCATTATAAGAGTTGCTGTGGTCATGGAGTCGTCACAGCAATAGAAACCCTAAGATAGTCTCTCAGGTCCATGATGACCATTTGGATTGCCTAACATCCACATCAAACTTAGTGCAGAACCCTGTTCCAGCCTTGACGCTGTGTCTCTCTGTGAAATGAGTTTCAAATATTAAACAGCTTTTATAGCTTAGTTAAAATTCAAATTAGTCAGGTGTAACAGCACTTGCCCGTGATCCCAACAATTAAGCTCCTGAAACCAGGGGCTGGTAAGATGGTTAAGTGTGTACAGGTGATTCCTGAGCCTAACAACCTAAGCTTGATCCCTGGGACCCAAATATAAGGTTAGAACTGACACTGCTGGTTTGTTTCTTGACCTTCAAGTGTTTGAGTCCAGCTTGGAATTCAGAGTAAGATTATCTTAAAAAACAAAACAAAATTCAAATAAAACAAGTACAGTACTTACAGTAAGCAAGCTAGAGGAACTCAGGGTATTTACCCAGTATTTATTCCACAAGAGCTCAAGTAGTTTACGATCCAAAGAGGATTTGAAATATGAGACTTCTAAGGCATAATATCTACAAAAAAAGATACACATTTGGTAAGTGAAAAAAATACACTGTTACATTGCATAGATGTCTTGGCAATACTTAAGCAAATTACATTTTATATTCAGATAATCATATAGCTGAACAACAGGTTCCTTTGTCTAACCTTCTACTAACCTTTCTTGATACATACATACATACACACATCTTTTGGTAGTGCCCAAAAATTTCCAAGAAGCTAGTAACAACATGGCTTTCTGGGTTTCCCTCACATAATTTTGCTCTTGCTAACTGTGCTTTTGTTGTCTTTTTTTTTTTTTTTTCTTGGTTTTTTGAGATAGGGTTTCTCTGTGGCTTTGGAGGCTGTCGAGGAACTAGCTTTTGTAGACCAGGCTGTTCTCGAACTCACAGATCTACCTACCTCTGCCTTCTGAGTGCTGGGATTGAAGGCGTGCACCACCACCACCCAGCTTGTGCTTTTCTTTTATATGTGTGTGCCATGGTGCAGGTGTGCAGAGAGATCAAGACAGCTTTTGTGGGGTCTGTTCTCTTTCACCTTATGGTTTTCACTGAATCTTTAAACAGTTTGCTTCTAATATTAAAATATAGGCTAGTTAAAAACTCCAGAGGAGTTGGGTATGGTGGCATACTCTTTTAACCCTAACACTAGGGAGGCAGAAGCAAGCAAAATCTCTGTGAGTTAAAGGCCAGCCTGGTCTACAGAGTGAATTTCAGGACAGTCAGGGTTATGTATAGAGGCGATGTCTCAAAACACCCAAAACCAAACTAACCAATCAAGCAGAACTCCGAGGGCTGGAAAGTAGCTTAGGGATAGTGCTACAGCATGCCCAAGGTCCTGGCACTTAAAGGACAAACCAAATGAAATACCTGCATTCTACTTCTATTAAGGATTTTTAAGTTAAATTACTTAACACACCATGCTCCTACAGATATCACATGGCTGGTCTCAGGATGCAGTGGCTGGATGAGAATGGCCCCTATAGCTCATCCATTTGAATGCTTGGTCTCTAGTGGATGGACCTGTTTGGAAAGGATTAGGAGGTATGGCCTTGTTGGAGGAGGTATGTCACTGGGAATGGGCTCTGAGGTTTCACAGTTACCTCTCTCTCCCCCTCTGCTTCTCATGGATCAGGTGTAAGCTCTCAGCTACTGCTCCAGCCACATGCCCGCCTGCTACCATGGTCCACACTATAATCATCATGGACCAATTCTCTGGTACCAAAAGTCACAAATTAAATGCTTTATTTTATAAGTTGACTGGATTATGGTGTTTTGTTGTGGCAATAGAAAAGTAGCTAAGACAGAGGACATAGACAAAGCAAGCAGAAACTGGGTGCAGGTCCTTTCTGCTGGCTAGCCCCCATAATGCTGGAAGATGTTATACAGGCTGCTGGGTAAGGGCTGTCATCAACAGTTTTACCTTCCTTTGGATCCTGTGTGCTATGATACCAATCTGCTAAATAGGTGGCCTCTAGTTCAACAGTGGCAAGTCTGCTATTTTACCTGATTGGATTTGAGGGCTACTTCACAGGAAGTGGGATCCTTGCCTCATCTTGCCAACCTGGTCAAAAGCCCATGGTTATTGTGGGAAGCTACTACTATTATTTTACTAGATGGACTTAATGTGCCAATCAAATTGCCTTCTAAACTATGTTTATATTTGAAGATTATTGCTGCTGGCAGCTATGGTCAGAGAAGCTTCTGTTGGCAGTGGGCAGCAGTTATTTCAGACTCAGAACTGACTGCTGGCTAGAATGACTGACAGTGGAATGCTCAGCTAGAAAGTGGTCATCAACATCACCCCCTTCCCTAAGGCTCAGGAACCATCATGGAAGAAGGGCAGAAAGAATGTAAGAGCCCGGGGAACGGAGGTGAACGCTGTGGAAGGTCTGCTGCCAGGAATGTCAGAGCACTCTTTGTTTTTGGTGGTGGTGGGAGTTTTGAGATAGGGTTTCTCTGTGTAACAGTCCTGTCTGTCCTAGAACTCACTCTGTAGATCAGGGTGGCCTCCAACTCAGAGATCCACCTGCCCCTGCCTCCCGAGTGCTGGGATTAAAGGCGTGCACCACCAGTGCTTGGCTGTCATGGCCACTCTTACCTCAGAGCAACTGTGATTACCTGCACTAGACTGGGTCATGGTGGGGGCAGGACTCTCAAAGCCTTACCTTCCCCGAGGATTTATACAGTGATGGATGCTGGGGAGGGAGAGGCCCTTTCTTTAGTGATATGCTCACTGGTAATGCTCCTGTAAACAATGCAACCCTCGTGTAACTCACTGGGTCATCAAAAATATTAACAAATGACAAAAACCCACAAAAACATCAATGGGACGAGATGGGAAGATTAAAGGGATCAGCAGAGTGAGAGGGTGAGAAAGGGTAACGGGAATGAATATGATCAAATGCATCATATGCACATACAAATTTCATAATGAAACTTAGTTATGTATGACTTGTACACTGTCATAAATAAACCAACATCTACACAAGCTATATAGAATGTATCTTTGGTCTTTTCACTTTGTTGAGTTTATATAGGCACATATTAAATATCTTATCTTTATTGAGTTTATATAGGCATATAATAAACTTATCTAATATGTGCTTAAACATTTAGCATATCAGATTCTACATTCCAAGCAAATTTGGGGAGGCTAGGGTGGAGCTAAGGGTAGAGAATCTGAGTAGCATACGTGAGGTTCTGAAGCTGATCCTTGTCAGAGAACTGTCCCTCACATTTGGTTGTACATTATGAGCAGCAGTAACACATGGCAGTCAAGATATTCCTTAACGGTGGGACAGGAGTTACAGAGAAAAGGGACATTAGATAATCACTCATTTATCTAAGCAACATTTTAAAAGTGCCCACCTTTCTATGTGCTATGCCCGATTTTAAATGCAAGGACATAGCAGTGAGTAATTCTGTTCAACAACAAGGAACCAAAAACATTCCATGGTGACTGCAAGGAAGGAAACAGGTACAAGAGACAGGAAGGTGCTATTGGAGACAAAGTGATCAAGTGATCTGGAAACAGACCCTCATGTACAGCAGTTAGTGAGCTACATGAAAATGAGGACTTCAAGGGTGAGAGAGGATCAGGGGCCAGATCACAGAGGGTTGTATAATCTGTATGGCTTTGGATCTTATTATTGGTAAGATGCAACGTCATTTTGAGGGAAGCCATGCTCTGACATACATTTTAGCAGAGCCAGTCCCGCGGACTCATCTTTAAGACACAGGTGAAAGGCTGACATGGGAGATGAGTTAGATATTCAGGGTCATGCTTGGGCTTCAGACGGCATAGCTTGGGTGAAGATGGTAGTAGGAAAGGTGTTGAGATATATTTACAAATATGAAAAGATGCCCTCATTGGCTATTTTTTAACTTGGAGAAAAGAGTCTTTGCTAAATGAAAAATGGGCATTTAAAAAATTACATTTATTTATTGTGTGTGTTTACGTATAAATGTGGATGAGTGTACCATGTAGAAGTCAGAGGACGACTGGCAGGAATAAATTCTCTTTCCATTGTATGGGTCCTGGGGATTGAACTTAGGTTGTCAGCCTTGGCATCAAGTACCTTTATTCACCGAGCCATCTTGATGTCTCAAAATGGTATATTTTAAGGGCAGCAAACAGATTACTGTCCAGCTACACCTGGGTATATGTCTCAACTGTTAATTTTTTTTATGGACTGAGTATTTTGTGCAATGAAAAAAATGTTTATGATTATTTGCAAGACAATAAGCTAGATTAAAATAATTATTGAAGAATAAACAAGTGAAAAGAGAATTATTAAACACTGAGTATTATCCTAAATCCATACCTTGCACAAATATTTTAAAAGCACCATATATTATGAAATGCATTTTGTTTGAGTCTTTCTCATGTGTAAAATAAAAGTCTTTGACTGAATGATTTCTGAGTTTTGGTGCTGGGGTTGAACCCAGGGCCTTGGGAATGACAGGCAAGCTCTCTTCTGTTGTGTCACACCCATAGCCCCGACAACTGTTCAATTACTCACTGTTTGCAGTGCACGCCAAAATCTTCTATTTTATTAAGTGGGATAGTCTGGTATTCAGAAGGTCCTTCATCAGGAGGTTTGTAGCCCTAAACAAAACCAGAAAACAGAAAATTGAAAATAGCGTAAGGCAAAGCTCCTTACTTTTTCTCTGCAGGTTCTTATATATGGGACTTTGTAGCATGCTTTTTTATTGGCCACCAGCTCACAAATAATGACATGGAGACTTATTATGAAAGCTTGACCTTTTAGTCTTGTCTAAACTAGGTCTTAATTAACTTAAATTAACCCATTTATATTAATCTACATTTTGCCATGTAACGTTACCTCTTTTCTACCTCGTGCCTCCTGTTTCCTCTCCATGTCTTGCTGGCAAATCTGCACGCCTAGAGTCTCCTCCCAGTCTCTCCCCCTCAGAAGCTCCACCTATTCTCTCCTATTGGCCATTTAACTCTTTATTAAACCAATCAGAAGGCACCTTAGACCTTTACAGTATAAACAAATATTCTACAACAGGACCAAATTCTGGACAGTCAAATAATAAACATCAATGTTTTAATAACAGTTGGGCCTGATGGCTCACCCATGCTAATTTCAGTACTTGGGAGGCAGAGACAAAAGGAGGCCAGCAGAGTCTATCTAGCTATCACCAGGTGAGCCAGGGTTATAGAGTGTGATCCTATCTTAAAAGCAAAGCCAAACCAAACAACACATCTTAGAAAGAATTGCTTCTACTTGACCCCAAACCTGTTAGCTGCTCTGGGTGTGGCTTGTTATAGATTGGCTTACAGCTTTGTTTCTCTTGTTTTTAGGTGCTGTGTATCTCTGCTCGTATCTACTGCTGATTACAGTTTCCCTTCAGGGAAGGAAATGGATCTAGCTTGCTTCTGTAGTCCTTGTCAAAATGCCACGGGCACACAAATGTTTCTTAATAAATAACCCTTTATCTGGTGAGAGTAATATGTAACATAAATATGCTATCCTTTGATATGGACTGTAACAGTTTGCAATTTTACATTTGAAAATTCTACACAAAAAGATACTACAAAGGTTCATATGCAGCTCAGGGGTAGAGTATTTGCCTAGTTCCTCTAGTACTGAAAAAAAAAAAAAAAAAAAAAAGCTGACTGATTAAATGTGAGAAGGTAAATTGAGACCCCAGATCCCACATAAAGCTGGGTGGGCTTGTTAGTGCACATACATCTGAATCTCTAGTTACCTAAGGCCAGGTGGGAGGTGGAGATAAACTCCACAGAAGCTAGCTGTATACAGGGAAAAGTGAAAGGCCCCGTCTCAGACAGGGTGGAAGGAGAGAACTGGCACACGAGTGCCTATACCTACCTCTGTGGGGGCACACATCTGTGATCCCAGTACTTCAGAGCTAGGGCTACATAGCAAGTTCAAGGTTGACCTAGACTACATGAGACTGCCCCCTCACAGCCCCTCCATCCAAATTACCTTTGGATATGTCCTAAAGGCGCCAAGATTCACTTTTCCTGCAGATATTGTTCTGGTTGGGTCAATCTACAAAAGATATATACTTAATATTGATCAAACAAACCATATGCTCACTGAGTCAACACCCCAGAAAACTACAACAAAGTAAATATAGCACTATATACTAACCAAAATTAGAAAGTTCAATGAAATAGGAATACTTCAGTTAATTTATAGATTAGAATTAAGTTATCATATCACCAAAGAATATTTATTTAGTATCATTAAGATATTCATGCTACTTGGCAAGACCATGTTTTAAAACAAACTGGGCACAGGCCTTTAAGCTCAGCACTTGGGAAGCAGACGCGGTGGATCTCTGAATTCAAGGCCAGCCACCTGGTCTAAAGAGTGAGTTCCAGGACAGCCAGGGTTACAGAGAAAAGCCCTGTCTTGAAAAACCAAAACCACCAAGCCAAAACAAACAAGAAACCCAATCAGTCAATTAATCAATCAATCAATCAATCAATCAAAGTAATGAATTAACTGAGAAACTACCTGCCCCTACCTGACCCCTTTAATAGATGAATAATTGTTAGTTTCCTCTTAAAGATCCTAGATTGCATCTAAAACATTCTGGACATAAAAGTAGACAGGATCTAGCCATTTCTGCTTCTCCAGTCAACCCTAATTAAATGCCTATTAAGTGTTGAGAAGCTGACAAAGGTTCTACCCTCATCTATAGGAGTGAGAGATGCAAGGAGCTTAAGAACATCCTTAAGTACAGTGATGCCAGAGAGTCATTCTTACCACACTGTTTTAATTTTCCAGTAGTCTTTCTTTAGCAAATATTCTTGAAAAACTTAATAAAATCTGTTTTTATAAAAAACAAAACAAAACAAAACAAAAAGCTGGGCTGTGGTGGGTATGCTAGCACTTGGGAGGCAGAGACAGGAGGTTCTCTGTGAGTTTGAGGCCAGCCTGGTCTTCAAAGAAAGTTCCAGGACAGTCTCCAAAACCTACAGAGAAATCCTGTCTTGAAAAACAAACAAAAAACAAAAACAAAAACAAAGTAAGCCGGGTGTGGTGGGTATGCCTTTAATCTCAGCACTGAGGAGGCAGAGGCAGGTGGATCTCCAGGAGTTCCAGGCCAGCCTAGTCTACACATCCAGTTCCAGGACAGTCAGAGATGCATAACAGAGAGACCTGTGCCCAGAACAACAAAAATTAAATAAAGTTAAATCCAAAACCAAATTTTGAAGGGCTGGAGAGATAGCTCAGCAGTTAGGGGTACTTGCTGCTTTAGCAGAGAGACCTATGTTTGGTTCCCAGCACTCACATAGTGGCCTTCAACCACCTCTAACTCCAGGAGTTCTAGGGGACCCAATGCCCTCTTGTGGCCTCCATCGACACCAGCCATATGTGGTGCATATAGAGGAGGGGCATCAAATACCCTGAACTGGAGTTACAGATGGTTGCCAGCCTCTGTGGGGGGTGACAGGAATCAAATCAGGGTCCTTTGCAAAAGCAGAGACCCCATTTCTTTTTTTCTTTTCTTTTCTTTTTGGTTTTCGAGACAGGGTTTCTCTGTGTAGCTTCGGAGCCTATCCTGGCACTTGCTCTGGAGACCAGGCTGGCCTTGAACTCACAGAGATCTGCCTGCCTCTGCCTCCCGAGTGCTGGGATTAAAGGCGTGTGCCACCAATGCCTGGTGAGACCCCATTTCTTTAAAAAGAACAAGTACTTACCACCACAGCCACAAATGGTTCCTGGAACTGCTGGTTAAGCATCTGTGTACTAACATCAATTCCAGAGAGCCAGCAGCCGTAACCAGGGTGGCTATGATACCAGCCAATTGCGTTTTCAAGGCGTCCAACCTAAAATATGAAAGAAAAATCTTGTTTGAGGTATGGTTTAATCTCACAGAAAGTGTCATTTACAGGCTTTATGTAGTAACACTACATAAAGATAACATCGTGTAAAGATTTTCTGAATAGATGATACATGTGTACAGTGTAAAATTATCAAGGTACAAGAACAAGGGTATTTAGTCTCTTTCCCATATCCTTCCCCCTCCTCTACCTGTTTCTTAGCTTAGATATTATCCCTCTATTATCTTACGTACTCTTACAGAGATATTCTATAGATTAACAAACATATCTGTAAATAGTTGCATACTACATACAACATTCTACTCCTAGCTACCTATATTTTAAACTGAACAAACAATTCTGGAACTGTTCCATGTAAGTAAATACACAGATAGCTTTTTTTGAGGTATTATATAATTTTTTTTTCAGATTTTATTTGAATTAGAAACAAGATTGTCTTACATGACAATCCCAGTTCCCTCTCCCTCCTGTCCTCCCCTACCAACCTCCTCCAACCTTTCTGTTTCCCCTGGATGGTGAGGCCTTCCATAGGGTGTCATCAGAGTCCAGATAGCTTATTTTAAGAAACTAATTTATTTTTATTTTATTTTGGTGTTTTTCCTGCATCTTTATCTGGGTGAGGGTGTTGGGCCCTCTAGAACTGGACAGTTGCGAGCTGCCAGGCAGGTGCTGGGAACTGAACCTGTATCCTCTGGGAGAGCAGTCTTTGCTTTTAACCACTGAGCCATCTCTCCAGCCCTGATAGTTGCTTTTTTTTTTTTTTTTTTTTTTTTTTTTTTTGAGACAGGGTTTCCTGTGTAGCCCTGGTTGTCCCAGAACTTGCTCTGTAGACCAGGTTGGCTTTGACTCAGAGATCTCCCTGCTGCTGCCTCCCAAGTGCTAGGACTTTAGGCAGTGCATTCACTTCCACTGCCTAAAGAGCTTTTTTTCTTTTCAAGCTTGCCTACATAGTACATTAATAGATGCCCTGCCATTTATTTAGCTGGGTTTCTACTGAGGAATAATTAATTCCTAAATTTCTTATTTATTAGTTCATTAATCCATTCATTTGTTTGAACTCAGGGCTTAGGAAGGCAGACATGAGCTCCACCACCAGTTACACCTCCAGTCTAACTTCTATTGTCTAAACACAACTGACACTGACTGGAAATTTATTTCAGAAAGACACCCTCTCCCCTGTCTGCCACTATCTATATTATAAATCTCACCAGACTTTTAATATTTTACATAAAATTGTTAAATTTAAAATATGAAATTGAATGTGAAAAGGACACTTTTAAGTTCAGAAACCCAGAATCTTGAGATTCTTAAGAGTTATTAAAGTTTTTTTTTAAAGATCTTATTTATTTATTATGTATACAACATTCTGCTTCCATGTATATCTGTACACCAGAAGAGGGTACCAGATTTCATAACGGATGGTTATGTGGTTGCTGGGAACCGAACTCAGGACCTCTGGAAGAGCAGTCAGTGCTCTTAACCTCTGAGCCATCTCTCCAGCCCGGGTTTTTAAAATTTTAAGCAACAATATTTTTACCTGTTTGGCATTTTCTATGTACGCAGCCATGTACTCATATGCAGCAGCCTGAGCATTTACTCGGGTCTCAGTGCCTTCTACAGGCAAAGCGAAACTGTCCATGATGATCATGGTCTCACCATCCACTTTCCCAAGCATCAAACCCATCACTTCCAAGTTGCCTCCTGATCGGGCATGCATCACCATTTTCAGTAGGGCCAGCGCTGAGATTTTGCAGTATTTAAAGTAATGGTGACTACAAAACAAAAGTCACAATGTTATTAAAGTTTTCATTTAAATTACAATCTCAAAAGACAGCTTCTGTGAAAATAAAGAATAAGTACCAAAGGGATTAACAGTGATGGGAATGCCAAATGTGGGAGGAAAAAGAAAACAGCAAGTACTAGGTGCCTGGAAACAGCACATCAGAGGTTGTAACCCATCACCCCCAAGTAAAGAGTCTAAGGTAATTTTTAATTATACTATCGGAGGGAATACCATCAAATTCCATAGTTTTTTTTCTCCATTAACATGGGATTATCATATCTCTGGTTACTTTCTCAGGCCTAAATTTCTGTGTATGGTACATGTTCATCGGTGTGCCACCAGATGGAGTGTTGAGATCACAGGGTGGCCTAAATTTCTGTGTATGGTACATGTTCATCGGTGTGCCACCAGATGGCATATGGAGATGACAGGGAGTCCCCCCTCCCCTTTTTTTTTTCTTCTGCTTTTTGAGATAGGGTTTCTCTGTGTAGCCCTGGCTGTCCTGGAACTCACTCTGTAGACCAATCTGGCCTCTGGACTTTCAGTGCTGGAATTAAGGTGTCTATTTCAGCACTTACTTATTGCCCTTTATTTTATTCCACTTGATTCCCTCGGGACAGATACTAACTGGAAGCTGATTGTTATGCCTAGGCTGGAAGACCAGTTTATAGATCTCTGCTCTCCTTCCATCCAATGCTAAGGATAACAACATACATATCCCTGCATGTGTTTATACAGTTGCTGGGGATTTGAACTCAGGTCTGCATGCTTAACAATTAGCACTCTTACCCACTGATCTGGAGGACCTAAAATTTACAAATGTGGCTTCTGAAACTGATTCGCTTAGGTTTAAATCTTGGCCAATTAACAGCTACATAAGTAGGTATTTCTGTAAATAGGTATTTCACAGTTAGTATGAAGAGTACATGAAGCGCTTAGCTTAGTCCCTGCAGCACTAAAATCTAAGGTGCTGTTACCAGCCTTACTAACCCATCTCTTAACATACCCTCAGTGTGCTGAAGCTGTGGCTTCCTTGTGATATCATCGTGAAGGTTAAAAAGTAGATGTAATATCCCCACTTTTCCTGTGATTATTTTGTCATCATTGTATGGGATTAAACTATTGAACAACAGACACATTTTAAAACCACTGATGTAGCTTACGTGTTCAGATGAGCATAATTAGAGGAAAGTCTACAGTTTACATCAATCTAAAATGTGCCTTTTAGGAACAATATGTAGGTAATCTATGCAGGTCACTCAGCATCTCCAAGGCTTTTCCAGCTGCTGCTAGATTTCAACCACAAGCTGAAAGATACTGAGACCTGGTCTTGGAAACCAAGACAAAAATTAAAAAACCGGTTCATCTTCACTGGAGAAAAAGACAAAGACAACTATTACTGTGCTCTCATTACATAGGCTCATCTAGAACTTTTTAATAAATTACCTCATAACATCACCAATAGCTAGGCTTGTTTTTATCTTACAGATAAATTTAGATATTTTAGTTTCCTAAGACCAGTCAATGTTTTAATTGACAGCTGTGAGACCTGATTTTCAGTCGGTTGCTCCTGGGTTCATTGCTATAGTATGATCATGAGGTGAATTTCTGAATGTATTTGCTTGTTTTCCTATTTACTGAAAAGGAATCAAAGTACAGTACTGGATTTTCATGATTACTAAAAGACATGAGAATCTTCAGGCCAGTGCCAGGCTCACATTAACTACTCAATAAGCACTGTGAAATAGAATAGACAGTGGAAGCTAGCTTTGTTAAGACAAAAAACCTGGAAACAGTGATTTGTTTAGACAGCATCTTTTTTGTGATTTTTTTTCAATGTCCTTAACACAATCTGTTCTAAAGAAATCTTTTGACTTGTCATCAGTCCCAGAGATACATGGATTTGGCTAGCTTTAAACCCTATTTCATAATTCCTGGTTTACATGAATCGTTGTAGTAGTATTTTAGAGAAGTGGTAAGGGACTTGGTATGTCCATAAAATGGTCACAGAAAAAAAAACTGCTAAAAGAGCTTATGGCTTCTTTGTTCTGAGATCAGTGGCCTGCTCATTTGACTTCTGAAAACAGCTGCGCTCTTCAGTTTGGGATTCACTGAAGGCTGCAACAGGGTGCATGTATCCACCAGGTTCAAGACAGAGTGTGGGAGATTTATAAAAACAATCCTGTTGAGAAAGTGATACCCCAAGTCAGTTCTTTACACCCTCTGGAACAAGTCTGTTAAAGAAACTTTCTGAAAGGGGAATAAAAAAAGGCCC